TTGTCCCACACAACAGAAGATGAACACACACTATACTACACGATTCTGCCTGAGGCTGCTCTTTCTAGCAGTCCTTCTCTCACAGTGCTTTTTTCTCCCCCTTTCTTTTTTTGACAGACTCTTGCTCTGTTGCTCAGGCTGGAGTGCAGTGGTGCAATCACAGTGCATTGAAGCCTCGACCTCCCAGGCTCAAGTGATCTTCCCACCTCAGCTTCTCAAATAGCTGGGACTACAGCACACACCACCACTCCTGGCTGATTTTTTTGTAATTTTTGTAGAGATGGGGTCTGACTATGTTGCCCACGCTGGTCTCAAATTCCTGAGCTCAAGCAATCCTCTCGCCTCAGCCTCCCAAAGCACTGGGATTATAAGCATCAGCCACTGCTCATGGCCAGGCAGTGTTTTCAAAGGTGCCCCTTCAACTGAAGACACGCTGGGATGACAAGCTCAGGAAGATCCCCTTGCAATGATCTGCAGCTCTCTTTGAAGCCCTCCTCTTAGTCAGTTTCATGTTGCTCTAAAGCCATACCTGAGGCTGGGCAATTTATAAAGAAAAGAGGCTAATATAACTCACATTTCTGCAGGCTGAGAAGTTTAAGGGCATGGCCCTGGCTACTGGTGAAGAGCTTTTGTGCCGTGTCACATGACAGAGAAGCTCAAAAGAGTGGATATGCAGGAAGAGGGGAAAACCTGAGGGGAATTCTGGCTTTATAACATCCCACTCTGTCGGGAACTCACCCACTCCTGCAAGAACTAATTCAGTCTCATGAGAGTCAGAATTCACTCACTCCTGTCAACAACAGCACCAAGCCATTCATGAGGGATCCACCCCATGACCCAAACACCTCCCACAAGGTGCCCCCTCCCAATGCTGCCATTATTGGGGATCAAATTTTAACTTGAGTTTGGGTGAGAACAAACAATATTAAAACCCTGGCAGGCTTATCTGGGACTGCTGCTTCCATGTCCCAGGAACAGGATCTCTGCATGCCCATCGTTTGCTCCTGAGGGAACAACCAGTGATCCCAAGATTCCTTGGTCCATATACACCTTTTAAGTAATTTAAGGCCAGGTGCAGTGGTGTATGGCAGTAATCCTAGTGTTCTGGGAGACTGAGATCTTGAGTTTGAGACCAGGAGTTTGAGACCACACTGGGCAACATACTGAGACCAAGTCTCTACAACAAATAGAAAAATTAGGCAGGCATGGTGGTGTGTGCCTTTAGTGGAAGCTTCTGGGGAGGCTGAGGTGTGAGGATTATTTGAGCCTGGGAGGTCAAGGCTGAAGTGAGCTGTGATAAAGACACAGCACTCCAGCCTGGGTGACAGAGCAAGGCCCTGTCTAAAAAAAAGAAAGAAAGAAAAGAATAGAAAGAAAAAGAAAGTAAGAAATTGAGGAGCTAGAGGTTCAGAACTCATTCATCACAGTTTCATTTCTGAGCTGCCAGTGAGGAGCCACACCATGGTTCCCAAAATCTCTTGATCAGGAAACGAGATGAAACATGGCTGTGGATATTCCCAGAAGGGAGTGGGGACAGGCCACTTCTTCCCAGAGGAGAGGAATGGGAATGGGAGAGCTCTGCTCCAGTCGGCGCCAGTCTCTAGTTTCCCTTCCAATCATGGATCACGTGACCAAGCCTGTCCTTCTGGGGCCTCCCCTTGGGCCTGAGTCTGAATCCAATTGACGCTGGAAGACTCTCCTAGAGCGACAAGGAGAGGTACAGGAGGAATAAGATAGTTGCTTTTCTAGTGGTGAAATTCCTACCATTTTTTTTTTTTTTTTTGAGAGAGCGTCTCACGTCGCCAGCAAGCAGGAGGGAAGGCAGGGAAGCGATCCTCAATCAAACCAACCCCTACCACCTACAAGCAAGCAACCCGCCTTTATCTTCCAGGTGAGTGACCCTGATGATGAAGCTGAACAACCGGTCTTTGGATATGAATACATGGATATAACACCCTTTTTTTTTTTTTTTTTTTAAG